TTGAGTTAGCTATCGTGAGTATAATCTGAAGAGCCTTACATAGAATCCACGAGAAAATTGAATATTACTACATAATGCTCGTATCGATAGATGCATCATAAAAGACATCGAGGTGGACGTAAAATCAGAGAAAAGAGAGCTCGAATAGCAGCTAAGCTCAGAAGACCACGAATTATCTCTGACCAGTCCGGAGTCTTTGTATCAGATAATTATTTATAGCAACTGCGTACTACGAATTTGTTCATTGAAATATTTGAGTGTAAATTTATTGAAGTAAAACCTCCGGCCGACGATATTTTTAATTTAGAAACGGTACTTAATTCTCTTTTGCCGGAGCGCGATTTAGACCTGTGCTCATTAATCGAAGAAGCTTCAGATAATATAATTGCGACGATGCATTCCTCCGGCAAACAACGCGACCGACCGACCATCCGTCGGTCGCAGATACGGCGCTGCGCGCCAACAAATAAACACACGCTCGAAGCATGCAACCGACACGTGCACACGTCAAAAATAACCTTTGTTATTGTTGTTAAGCACGTGCCGAAAAAACCGCGTTTTCGTGGTATAAAAGACTGCTCCGCCGTGCTATCGAGACCAGACTCCGCCAGAGTCAGCCGAGATCGCAAGATCAGGTCCATACTGTAGATTGTGGAGAAATGAACGACTGCGCCATCCTGCTGCCTAGCGAGGACAACAAATGGCTCAGTTTTTGCAACCACAACAGAAAAGAGCGTCTACCGTTTGTCGTGTACGCCGATCTGGAGTGCATCTTACAGAAGACTACGAGCGAGGAGGAAGAGGGAGAGGATCGCAAATCGCGCACGTATCAGCATCATAGGGTATTCAGCATAGTGTATTATTTAAATTACTCGTATGATGAGTCATTATCGTATTTTCAAAGCCGTCGCAATAGTGATTGCGTCTCGTGGTTCGTCGAGCAACTCAAAGAGTTAGCGCACCGCGTAAAATTAGTCTTATCAACAAATGTCCCCATGGAAACTTTATCAAACGAACAGACGGAAACATTTAATAGCGTAACGCACTGTCTCGTGTGCGAGAAAGAGGTCGAGAAAGAGGATACACGCGTACGCGATCATTGCCATCTCACCGGACGGTACAGAGGTCCCGTGCATTCAAAGTGCAATTTAAATTATAAACATTTATATTACATTCCAATAGTTTTCCATAATTTATCCAGCTACGATTCACATATTATTATCATGGAAATAGCAAATGCATTTGAAGGCTCGATCAATGCGCTGCCGATAACAAAAGAAAAATATACATCATTTAAGAAGCACGTCTAAGATACAGCAAAAAAATCTGATTCACGAAATTGCATACAGTTACTATTCATCGATTTATACAAATTTCTAAATACCAGTCTCGAAAAATTAGGATTTTTTCTCGACAAAGAAAAATTAAAAATTTTGCAGTCCACATTTTCAAATATATCCGATTTCGATTTATTGACGCGAAAGGGTGTTTTTCCATATGAATACCTTGATTGCGTGGACAAGTTGCAGGACCCGTGTTTACCACCGCGAGAATCGTTTTATAGTTTGTTGAAGGGTGATACGGTATCCGAGAGCGATTACACGCACGCGGTGAACGTCTGGCAACGATTCTCTATTGAAACCTTGGGTGAATACAGCGATTTATATCTGAAGACTGATGTCTTATTATTAGCCGATATTTTTGAAAATTTCCGGGATAGTTGCATCAAAAGTTACGGATTAGATCCACATTATTATACTTTACCGGGTTTCACTTGGGATGCTATGTTAAAACATACCAGCATAAATTTTGAATTGCTCACTGATATCTATATGGTCATGTTCATCGAACGTGGTATACTCGGAGGTCTCAGTCATTGTTCCATAGTTGCATGTTAGACACGCACAGGCCAATAACAAGTACATGCAGTCTTACGATCCATCGAAACCATCGTCGTACTTGATGTACTTTGACGTAAACAATTTGTACGGTTGGGCAATGTGTCGGCCGCTGTCTTACGCCGAATTTCAATGGGTCACACATGTTTCAACATTTGATGCATCTTCAACCGCTGTCGATTCACCCATAGGTTATAATCTCGAGGTCGATCTGGAATATCCGCAACATTTGCACGACGCTCACGCTGACCTACTATTTTGTCCAACGGGCTCTAAACCGCCATGTAAAAGACAAGATAAGTTATTGGCAACTTTATACGATAAGCAGCGTTATGTTATTCATTATCGCAACCTACAGCAATGCACGCGTCACGGTCATCGCATTACAAAGATATACCGTATACTCCAATTCGCTCAATCTCCGTGGCTCCGCGATTACATCGAACTAAATACACAGTTTAGAAAACAAGCGACGAATAATTTTGAAAAAAATTTGTATAAATTGATGAACAATGCTGTATTTGGAAAAACGATGGAAAATGTACGCAATCATGTAGATGTGAAACTGTTGACAAAATGGGATGGACAGTGTGATGTTGAGGTAATGATCGCGAAACCAAATTTTCATAGCCGAAGCATTTTCACC